CTCCCAAGCCCCCTAATACTCTACTTCCTAATCCTCACCCCCAGAATTTCCTACCCCTTTCTACTGGCTTCTTACCCCTACTCCCAAGCCCCCTCTCTACTTCCTAATCCTCACCCCCAGAATTTCCTACCCCTTTCCACTGGCTTCTTACCCCTACTCCCAAGCCCCCTAATACTCTACTTCCTAATCCTCACCCCCAGAATTTCCTACCCCTTTCCACTGGCTTCTCACCCCTACTCCCAAGCCCCCTAATAATCTACTTCCTAATCCTCACCCCCAGAATTTCCTACCCCTTTCCACTGGCTTCTTACCCCTACTCCCAAGCCCCCTAATACTCTACTTCCTAATCCTCACCCCCAGAATTTCCTACCCCTTTCTACTGGCTTCTTACCCCTACTTCCATTCCCCTGAACTTCCAGACTTCCGAATCCCCTTACTTCCACAGCCCCGACTTCCTACCCCCAGCTCCCTGACTTTCTAACCTCATGACTTCTTACCCCTAGCTTCTTGACTTCCTAACCCCCTTATTTCCTGCCCTTAGCCCCCTACTTCCTACTCCCATGTGTTAATAGTCTATGGTAAAGTCAGCTGCTAGATCTTGCTGTGTGTGGCTAACACAGGTCACTTCTAGTTTTCTTCCTACAGAAACTGAGACAGAAACCAAGATAATACATTCAGACCAGAACAACATCTGGTACTGCCAGTATTATCACGGCAGCACCCAGCCAGATTTTTACACCTTTCTGTGAAATTTCCTCACAAATCTCAAAAAGCTCCTGTTATCACAATACAGTCCGCATTTTCGATGAATTTTAAAATTTCATTACCAAACAATCTTCAGAAAAACTGATGATATTTCTCTAATCTGAATACATTTGTTAATATTTTATTATAATAAAATAAATGAAAACCTCTTCACATCAATTGTGGTCTGATTTCTTAAGTAATCATTTCTTATAACTGTTTGATGCAGTATTCCACTCTCAGACCTATGACAACAAAACCTAGTTTTTTTGTTTTAAATACCGCATACAATCAGCAATAAGCCCATGCATGGATAATAAGCATACCAATGCCTTTTACTGTAGAAATACAAATAAATGGTATTTCATTGTACTGTGATAAATCCATATATATATGCATATTAAGAAATATTAAAGAAGTCAAACAAAGGTAGGCTTGAAAACTGAATATACTCCTATAGTATGAATGAATTCATATTTTACCCTAAGGTTGGAAAAGTAAGGGTAATCAACCCATTGGCTATAAATTTATTTGCACCAAAAGGGTCTTGCTTTTATGTTTAGAATAGGTGATGCACCTGTCAACACCTGTATATACACAAAAACGTAAGTGTACACTGACCCATGAAGGCTTGATTATCCTCCTGACTCTTCTATCCCTACATTACACAGCCAGTATATTTTTCACACTTGGTAAAAGGTCACCCTTGAGAGCAATCAATATACAAACACATATCCACTGACTGTCATACAAATCCCTTACACAGCTGTTTCATTTAAAGAAACCATGAACTCTGACCTCGGTAAATATATATACATATAGGTGTAAATCAGTTCAGTTTCCCATCTGGTTTTATACATTTTTAAAATCAATTTTGATTGTTATCAGTTACCTTTTTAAATTTAAACAATTACCATTGACAAGTCCAGGAAGGCTAAGATATTTTGCTTCATAATTAAATCATACTGTATCTAATTCCAAACTTGTATCAAAAGTTTCTATTATCTTGTGTTCCTGTTGTACAATCCTATATCTTCCTTAGAGAAGTTTATGACTATAGGTAGAGACAGTGTTGCCCCTATGATATCATACTCAATAAACCGGGGTGGCGTCTGGTATATCACAGACCAATAGTTACACCCATACACAAACATTATCCACACTTGACACCATTAATAAACTCCTACATACATACAGATCATAAAACAAGACATTAGCTAAACATATCAGTATTCAAGAGCACTCCACCTAATTCCCCGAGTTCAATAATCTTCAACAAAAGATCAAAGTTACCACAAACTACAACACTATTAAGATATCACATTATCTTATTGATATTTTTATTAACTTTTCTTTCATTTACTTTACGATGATCTCAAGACTCTTTTCCATAGAGTGTTGTGAAGTTTGTGAGCATGTGCAGAAGAAAACAAACTTTGGGAATTCCAGTAAAGGTGTTATAGATCGACAGTCCTGATTCTGATCCCAGAATACTTTTTTTCAGCAAGCAATTACTTCTACATCAAACATTCCTATTCATAGAATGGGCAAACAGCATAAAGGGCCTCAATCATCCAAATTACAGATTACAATGAACTTTACATGATTTTTGTTTGATATAAATAATTGTGTGCAATCCATTAAACAAAAGCAATGTCAAAGCTATCAATCAAATAACTAAGTATCATTTTTCAAACAATTCAAGTTGATGAAGAAATAAAGTAATTAGATTTTAAAATCATATTTCAATTTCTAAAGATAATACACCAATCAGAATGAGGAAATGTATCACAAAATTTTAATTCGAATGTTAACTTATTATAAAAGGCATCAGTTCCTTACCAATAAGAAAGCAACATAGTTACTTTAACTCACTGATTCTGTTATCAAATATACTACATATGGGCTATTGATGGGAAATCAGGTAAAACCCATAAACGATGATTAACAGTTAAATCAGATAGACTTTGCAACGTAGTTGATCGATTACAAAATCGGCTTGTTGTGTGTTCAACTTTCATAGAAAGTGATGCATTTTTTACTGCTGTAAAATTTTCTTTTTTTATAACTTAGATTCCTTGAATTTGCATAAGAATGAATATTGTTGGCAACTGGCATCTTTCTTATGCATAATATGAATTCCGTTTATTGAGAAAATGTGTGTCAAATCAGATGAGATTAAACAATTAGATAATAAATTAAATACAATCATAACTAATAAGTACTACTATAATATTTTGATATTAACTATTAAGCCTTTATTCCTGTAAGTGAAGTCTGAAGTCATACAGTGACAATGGTTATTATCAGACAGAGGTATATTTATATGAGGTATCTTGTATCCCAACAAGTTTTTTTTAACCTGAAGAGTTGCCTCTACCCAATCAATCATTATACCAAAAGAGTTGACTCCCTAACAAGTTTTCATACCTATAGTTGTCTCCCCTTTCAGTTTTTATATCTACAGCTGTCCCCAATCTATTGCCAATATTGTGTCAGGAAGAGAAGTGTATACACATCCATCTGTGTGTACAACAGAGAACCTAGTAACATAGTGCCCAGATATCAACAGGCAAAAAATCTAGGTTGCAACATTGATTTATAATTTATCACTGACAGTCTGAGTCACACAGAAGCTTGACTTGCTACATTGGTATGCAGTGTGTGTTGAAGAATGTATTTGTACCCGCTTCCTGTGTTACGTTACCCATGCCATGTTGAATACTATAATTTATACAAATATACACTCACGGCTGTTGTTCAAGAATGTTTACTATGTGAATAAACAGTAGCTAAACCAGGATATGTTATTCAATATTCTGGATTTCCACACACACACACTATCATACATGTAACATTTTTAGCTTTAAGTTTACATAACTTTTCATATCATACAAACTCTCCTTAATCTTTAACAGAAATGGACAAAAATTATATAAAACTTGAGGCCATATTTGACAGTTCTTCTCGAGATCATTTCCTACAAGTGATTCATGTAAAATACTTTTAAGAATAAAACAGAAGTGTTTCCTTCCAAAGAAATTTGATCCAATCAATCACAAGTTACTGTACATTCATACACAGTTAACATTTGAATGGTAGGATTGCATGATTCACAACAAGAAATATGATTTTTAAGGCGTGTACAAAAAAAACCTTGAGATTCCTACAGATAGCATGCAACAGTGCAGTAATACAGACAAATCCTACAGGACGACCACTGAGACAAGCGGGCAACACAACTGTCAACAACACAGGAAAACCTAAGCTGTATTTGTCTTTATTTCTCATGCACCTTAATAATACGTGAAGTCATTGATGCTATCAAGTATCTGAAAAATGGCTTTAAGATTACGATTACTTCAAAACCTTATCATGGTTCACTTCTCTGATAGATACAGACTGACATGCACCGACAACAATGAAAACCATGCTCTCATTTTGCTGAAATTTAATGCTTTATTCAGCTTGGTGCTATATTTGTTAGGACACATTGTGGAGTTAAAGAATAAGTGATATATTTTTCATTTAAGATTTCAGATTTTTAATACAACTATGATATAATGGTTTATTTTCATTTTTAAATTTCTGTTTTCTTTAATATTCTAAATCCAAGGCTTCCAACATCATTTTCTTTTTGTGACTTTACAACATTTGAAAGCGTTATCTGATACACCTATCCAATATAAAATTTAAATGAATTACTAATGCCATGAATAATTCTTCTGCTTAAGGTATATCTTTCAAAGAATTTTAAGGAAGAACAGCACTGCATTTACCACTGACATCAAGCTTATATTACCCAAATACCTTAGAGAATCACAGATATTTTAAATATTCTTTATCCTACAGCTCAATTCTTCTATAAAACAAATTGCCATTACTAGTTTAAGCTATTAAAGCTATATGAATATAAAAAAAAGTTAATAAAAAAGGCACACTCATTATAAGCAAAGCTCTGGAAAGGACAAGCTTGCAAGGTTTTAAAACAGTATAATTTCAATACTTCTGGTTTGTTTTTCTTTTTAATTTCAAAAAGGATACAAATTTAATATATAGATACAATATACCTTTACAATATATATAGAAAGATAAGTAAGTATATTTCAGTCTGGTTAAGATTACCATAAATACTTTTGGAATATAGATTTCCAGAATATTTGTATACAGTTTTAGAGGTGTTATTCTGACTATAAACACAGCTACAAGATACCCTGGGAAGGAGACAACATTGACCCTGATTACTAAATACATACTTGGTATTAGGTGATGAGGCTTTGTTCAAATTGTCTGGAGGTTGATTTTGCCTAAAATAAAAATTGAACTGAATCATGATCATTTTAGTGTCACACATTCTAATTTTGTCCCTCAAAGTTAATTAACTTAAAAATAGCATCAAGCAGAATTATGAATCTCAAAGTGATTTGCCTGATAGTCAGTTTGTATAAAAGTTATCACCATCAAGGTTTAACCAAGATCAGGTACTGATGAAGTGTATAGCAAATTAAAAAAGAAAAGTATCATGTACTGAATAAGCTTCTATTTAGAACTGATAAATAAACAAGGCAACTTCATTAAACTAACCAATTATTTAGGTAAATGAGTATACCATCGGTCAACTGTAACACAGTGGAAATCATGCATGAAGAACTATTATATTGTAAGAACATACAATATCTTAGTCCCGAAATGATTTTGTAAGACTGAACACCAGATATAAATTCCAGGTTCACATGCAAGTAAATCCTCTGGAAATCCATCAAGATTATTCTATTTTACTGAAGCATACCAACATCAATGTCAATGCCCGAATGATGACGGGGTCAAATGTAGCCTCGTAAAAAAGCTTTTACACCAGTAATCTATTTCCTACCCAAGTTTTACTCCTTGTAGAATACTTATTTCATTAAACCGAGAAGCCGGTGTATAAAAATTGTTCATTGTGAAAATTGGAAAAACTGCTGATAAATGGTAGAGGATATCATGGATTTTTATAACTGTAAGGGGATATATAGCTCTCCGTGCTCCAGATGTTTACTCCATCTAACCTTGTTACTAAGGTGTAGGTATCTCCAGCTCTATGTCACTGTCCTACAAAGTACCTTCTTCTATACCCCTAACAGCATTACTGCTGATACCTCTACATACATGCACACCGCACATTTGTACATGTACTTCAAATATAATATAAATAGAAAGCAAGTCCACATGCAACTCAAACTACAAACGCTGCTAGCTTCATCTCAAAATCAAATCCAGGTTATACTCAATCATCATGAATTTCTAAGCTTTTAAGATTTACATAATTCTCTTTTTGCCATATATATATACACTTTTAAAACTACATAAAGTTCACCAATTAAGAGGTTTAATTACTAGGTTCTGTTAACTTAACACTAAAAGTTCAGTGCATTTGACTTACTTTCATAAAATATTTTGTACAATAAAAAGCTGATACCCTAAAGCATTTATTTAGACCCGACAGAACTGATACACATTGCCCAAATATTATTCCCTTCTTTTTTCATGGTACTAATACAGACCTTCAACAGATCACCATAATTATTTATGTAAGTACAGCTATATACATTTTGTAACATTAGGCAATTTGTAGCGCCAGACATGACTCATAGGTAGAGTTAGAAGTTCAGGATGAATTCTGTATATTTATAACCATATCAGTAAATAGCATTGACGTCGAACCATGGTACGGCTTCTCTCACAAAACCTCACTTGGATATTTGTAGGCAAAGTCCTCAATTCTGGAACTTGAATTGGCAATTAGTCCTATTTCATTGTCTTGCAAGATATCTTCAGTACAATATATAGATATAAGATGTATATATATGTCCACTTGAAATCTTCCTCCAACCAGTAAAATGAAAGTCATGTTTTAAGAAATAAGATACACACGACAAATACATAGTAAACAGTATCAACCTGAACCAGTAGGGTTTATACCAATCTGATATTACCATAAATAAAAGGCCTGTGATTTTGTATAAACCCCAGTTCATATATATATAGGTAGCAGGGCGACCTGGTACAGTACTCACAAAAACACAGCTGTTTTCCCTGGCATTTTGCCAACAGATCAGTAAACAACATAGGTACTATGCCAAGTCATAGCAAGATATATGGAAGTCCAATTTACCAAGGCCCCCACCTCATGTAGGTATACAGCTAAACACCTTTCTGAACAGAAGAACTGTTGGGTTTGGCAGGTGATCTGGGCTTTCTAAACCCAAAGGTGAAATAAAGTCAGTTTATAACTTACTACTAAACATCTCTAAAGTAAGTTCTCCTCTTTTCAGGTGTTATCCAAAGTTTCTACATCCCATATATCTAGATAAACTTCTGGTATAAAGGCATTAAATTTACATATAAAAAAACCTATTTAATGACCAAATAGAAAAAATCATTGTTTCTGTTTTTTTTTGTTTTTTGTTTTTGTTTTTGGAGTGGGTGGTGGGGGGGGGGGGGGAGTATTTTTTTCACAATATATAGTAAACAGTATATCTGTTTGATTGTATATATTGAACATCTAGGTGAAAGTTATGCCATTGATCTACAGATTGATAGTAAACAGTAGATATATATTTCAGACAGTGCAACATGATATTCAATACCAGTAATTCATGTAGGATTTTTTTCTGATGAGTCCTGAGCATGATTTCCAAAATTTTCAGGTGTCTAGTCACAAAAAGACCTAATAGATTCTGAATATTTGAGCGAGTCCCACAAGAAAGCATGAGTCCAGTATTCAAATAGAGTCCCAAAAATCACTGAATACTCAAACTTCTCATCAAAACAATAACATATCTATAATGATAGGTATACCAAGGAACTAGGTCATCTATGACAAAAGGTACCAAATTATTATCACAAAATTATCTACTAGTGACAAAGTATTCTCCCTTTAGTAGGGTCATCGACCTACCATAATGAATGGATTGTCATAATTTATAGCCTTCTTTCTGGTAATTTACACCAGTATATCAGAAGCCTCCATGGTTTTGCAATACAAGTAGATATATCAGACAAAGCACCAGGCTTTTTACGGTTTAGTCCAAGAGGACTATAATGATTTTTCATGGCACTTCAGGATAGCCATTCTGCAGTCAGTTGGCAATTTAGTAAATACACCTTTGCACACAGCTTTATTGAAAGGCTAAATTATCTCTATTTTTTAAATGTATGAAAACCTAAGCAGGCTTAATTATCCTTATTTTTTTCACACGAAAACCTACAATGTGTTCAGTGATATGTAGATCTACCATACACTATACCAGCAATTCTTAGCATATCCTTTAAAGTATTTACTAAACAGTTGTAACTTTTAACAAAAGACTGACATCTTCAATCTTTCAGTATCTCAAAACTCAAGGCAATTTATTTACATTCCGACATTTAACATGGGAAAAACTCCCTTTCAAACCGTCCTGTTTTAAGTAATCTTCAATATTCTACACTGAGAATTCCAACCAACGATATATATCCCCTTGGTACACAATGAGATCATATGATGCACTGAAAACCTTCAGTGACCTCCAAACCACGTAGATAAGACTGTAGTATCTGATTCCGTGGTTTATTTCATGGTAAGTGAAGAAACCAGAAATGATGAGCATATTTTTGGTAAACTTTTATGAGCACCACCCTTTCCTAAGAGGCTTACAATGGTTATCATAGGGTGGTCTATTTACTAGATAAGATTTGTTTACATGCTTCTCTTTTAAAATCATCTCCAAAGAAAATTAATAGTGTTGTTGGTTTGACAAGTTCAAGCATTGTACTGATCTAAATCTTTCTTTATTTCCATGTTTTTGGTGCCTTCAATTTTACTAGATAATTTGAATGTGAAACAAAACTTGTGTTTCGGTTTAGTTTGAAAAATGGTTACAAAGACTTGTGTTATCTCATATGACAATCACTGGAATAGTGTAATATGCACCCATGATCACTATATTAATAAATGTATATACAATAAAAATGTTATACAATGTATGATTCAAACATTGTATAAAATATACAATGTAATGTAATCATAAATACAATGAAACTGTTACACAATGTATGATATATACAACAAAGCTATTATACAATCATATACAATGATCAATGTATGGATAGAAATTTCAATACAATATTTCTTACTTCTGAAAATCAGGATCAACAATATTTTGTCAAAGCAACCTTTATCTACAATTGTTGTTATATCAAGTATGTGGAATATCACTGATAACAAACATGCGCAATTCTCTTGTACGGCCAAGAGGGGTTAAAACAAGAGATCGAGAAGACGATAGAAAATAATTATTCATCTTTCTATCTATCCAAGTAATTCTTTTCCCTTTATTGTTTCAGAGCTATGATTTTGGAGAGGATCTTGTCTGAGATTGGCAGAGCTCTGAAGCCTAACCTAAAGCTGATGAATGCCAGTCTTTTCTGCTACCTATATGATACAGTTGCACAACACAGGCAGCTTATGGTTCTTAAGTAGACACTAAGCAGGGATGTATTTTTAACGGAAGTCTTTTTCATATTTCCTAAAGATGTTATCTGGAAGATCTTGGCTAAAATTATTCTGCTTTGCAAATTCAAATCAGATTCTATTGTAATTTGAATGATTCACTTTGTCAACAAAGATCACTTTCATGGCATGGCTGACAGCAGGCAGATTATCATTAAATATATATTGAAAATATATCACTTCTATGTGCTTTTAAAATTCATAACACGACAACAGTATTCGTAAAAGTGATATGAGGCCCTTTTTTAACCACAAATCTATCTAAAACATAATCTGTAACCCTTTCACATCAATACAAGCATCCTCAAGTTCTTTATGTGTTTTGTATATTTCATTTCAGATGACACCCGATGATGAAGCATCTGACCTTTCCAGGCAGCATCTGAGAAAACCCCTCGAAAACACCATTTGCTCAAGTATCTAAATCTGGCTTGACCACATCTAACAAAGTGTTGGAACCCTTAAGAGCGTAAGTGAATGTGTTTGACACTTTGAGACTATACCTGATGAAGAATCAAGCACTCCGAATTTACTTTTGAATTGTCTAACTTCTGAGTGAAACACCTGATGAAGAATCAGGCCCCTCTAGACAGCACCTGCTGAAGTGTCTGACCCCTACTGACAGAACCTGATGAAATGTCGGACCCCTCCAGACAGAACCTGGTGAAGTGTCTGATCCCTCCAGATGGAACCTGATGAAATGCCAGACCCCTCCAGACAGAACGTGAAGAAATGTCTGATCCCTCCAGACAGAACCTGATGAAATGCCAGACC